TTATTTTATTACCTTTTTTGTCATGTAACTATTGAGCACTATCTAGACAATGATAAACCGATTTCTAAAATCGATTGGCTCGATAAACTGGTGAGAGCGACCTATAATATTAGAGTTTCCAAAAACGTTTGCGTGGTGCTTTTCCGGTTAGACTCGGAGTCGGTTAATTCGTTTCTCCTTTCAGTTCTCTCTCTGCTTTCGCCAAGAAATAAACAAACAATTCACATGACGCATAATTTATTGGGAACCTCGTTGGTTCTAAAGGGTTTGTTTAATTTCAAAATACAAAATTTTAAAAACTATCGTTCGTGCTCCCGTGTTATGCTGTGGATATAACATAAGCGTCGGTCGATTACCTAATGCTTTTTAGCAAGTTCTTTGCCAAGAAACAAGAGTAGAGCATCCTTAGGGTACTGCATGTTTATTTTTATATTTGATGCTTTCAATGCTATGATAAACTCATTAAAGTTAAAGTTTAGAAGCTGCGAATGAGCACACAGTTTGTGTCTAATATTATGTATCACTACTAGCTTGTAGTGAGATACCTAAATTCCGCTGAATGATTAAGGGCCAGCAGATCGTAATATCACTGCCAACAAATAATGTTTAAAGATAATATTTCTCGTTTACAAAAGGTAACAAAGATTGTCTAAATCCCCATAATTCATCCATGTTCGTAACATGCTATTTTCAACTTGTCACAATTGGCTCAATCCAAAGAAGCGAGATTGTCGATCAAGTGACACATCGGCTATTACGAGGCAAAGCCGTTTCATAAAAAGGACAACTTGTGGGCGCATTACTAAATTTGTCTCCAAAGTCGAGTATATTGAACAAGGCCATTTCGACGTAAACAAGATGGTAATTACGGATGAGAAAGAATAAAGTATTTTATTTTATTGAATCGATTACAACATATAGAACGTACGCATTTTTTAAAATCTACCGGGTAAAGTCTACTGCCCAGAGATTACGTAACTCCCAAACGCTAATCAAAACGGGCGAAAAGAAAACCATATTATAGAATATGGTTTACCTATTTATTGTTCAAATTACAAGGCTTCTTTGTGGTTGAAACGTTATTTGCATGCATGTCCCCCAGTTCTATTGTTTTTCTACATCTTTTGAAACATGTTCTGTAGTTGTTGCCCTGCCTGTCAAGACATTACTACATGGCCGACTAGGGCTTTTTACACTCTTTGTTAATTTAATTCATACATGAGAAGACTCCTGTTGTTGTGATTGAGCATATTCACAGGATGATAAATTACTAAAACGGCTGACAACTTTATTTGACATAGCCGCTGAGTAAGGAGAAAAGCTTACTAGCTGAGAAATTCCGAAAGTGTTCTCTAAAAATACTTTCCGTTTAATTGCATGTATGACAATTAAGACTTGAGACAATTGCCTACCTTGTGCAGGGCTTTGTAAAAAGCAATACCTATTGTTTAAAGTCTTTACAATACAAAAACCCTTTTTAGAACGATATCATAAAATTTGTTAACTATTGTTTAACATATAATACATATCGGATTAGTAAATACAAAGTTACAATGATGAGATAATAAGAAGGCATATTAATATACATATTACACAAGCTTTTCTTTCTAAGAAACGTCTACCTAATGACGTACGAGAATGTTAAATTGACTACAAGGCGTGAATTAGGAATAAAAAACCCTTTCTTTTTCGTCGTTATCTGAAATTCCGAATTTGCAATTTTATCAAATGTTTCTAGGCGAATGGCTTGATTGATTTGGCCAATTGAACGATAGTGTGACAGCAACAACAGTGCAGCAGCAGCAACGTATATCGGGCAATTGGTCAGTTGGTCAGTGGTCAGTGGTCAGTTGGAGTTGGTCAGTATTAATAAATACCCTTGAATTAGAAATTAGAGACACTGTTGGTCGTAGCGTACTACTTATTCATCCAACTATGACTATTGACAAACACTGGATTTACAACTGATGTCGACCAAAAGTAGACTGATATTAAAATACCAATTTTGTAATTCCACAAGGGTTCTAAAATCAGGGGACTTTACCTGTCTTGTGAAGTTTATATGGAAGAAGTTGACTAAAACACTTTTATTTGTCACAAAAATAAAACAGATAAATCGGCAATTGATTAAAATTGATTACGACAGTTCTCTCTCGACCAAATATAACAATTTTTTGGTCCACAAATATCACAATTATCCAATTAAAAATCAGTTGTGGCCAAGGCGATGTGACACATTCGCATATCAGCTCAAACATACGTTTTTTCATGTAAATAATAAATGTCCTCAATTGTTCCGGTATTCTTTTATTTACAATCTCTTCTCTTCCTCCCCTCCCCTCTCCCCTGTGCACCACTCTTTTGGCCTCATTCTTTTTTGTCTCTCTCTAATATATTTTTCTTTCCTCTCTTTCTCGCCATAATTTTCCGCATTTTAATCCTTCATATACATACAACCCCTCCCTTTACACTACTTCCCGCTTGTAAAAGAAAGAGTTAACCAAGATCACGAGGCGGTCGCTCCTATTGTACAAAGCAACTTTTTACTCTTATATACATACTTGTATTATTATAATAATAAAACCGACTATGCATTCTATACGGAATCTACGACGGTGGACAGCAACAGCATTGATATGTCTATTGGTCATCATAAATGCTTCTACAGTAATAGCAGGGCCTGGTGAAAGTAAGTTTCTCGGCCCACCAGAAATAAGCTATAAATTGAAATTTCCGGTTATATTCTAGAATCAGTTTGTTGCGAACTGATAGTCATTATAGTTAGGCAGAAATTATCATTATCGTTTGTTTTTTTTGCAACTCTTAACCATTAGCGGAACAGATATTCTTGATAAGATTGACCATCATATAACTTGCGATTATTATATACCTTGTATCATTTTATAACTTGTATCATTTTATAACTGACTCTTTCATTCTCTTTTTATCAACGTAGCAAAACCCTCGCTTTCAAATAATGCAACAGCAAACAACAACACAACCGCAACCGTCACAACCACAGCTACAACCACAACTACATGTATACAATGTCCGCCCATATCAACCTGCCCACCATGTCCGGAGGATCAAATTTGTGTTGCTGGATTTACAACGTGTACTCAATGTGCTCAGCCCCGGTGCCAAAGCAAGAAGACAGTATCCAGTATATCGCCCGACGTCGGTTCCAGTAATCCGCAAAAGCCTGACAATAGTAATGCCAAATTGATTCCAGCGGTCATTGGAAGCGTGTTTGGCATTGCAGTCCTGGCTGCCGCAATGTTTGGATATGCCAAGTTCAGAAAACAACGAGGAATGGGAGCTGGTCTATTTGGAAACAGTAAATGCACGCGATTGGACGATGACAGCACGAAAGAATGGTCAATGACATCGTTGAGTGCCAACGTCATTCCGATAGCATATATGCCACCGCCAACTACACCGGTTACTCCTACCACACCTCCCGAGGCAGTTCATCAGAGAATGCGTGCATCCTCTGTGAGTATTGGCACGACACCATTAGCCAGTCCACTGCCCAGGCCTTATTCGACGGCAAGCGATAATCCGTTTGCCAGTAACGAGGATGAGGAAGTCGGGACTATTGTACAGGCAACAAGAGGGATATCACCCTTACCGGGCACGGCTACAACGACAGCAACAGCCACAGTAGTGACTGCTACACGTGCTAAACCCGCTCTTGTCCGATTAAATACTATAAAGAGTAATAACGGCAGTGCCACCGATTTAAGATCACTGCGATCAGCATACAGCGGGGGAGCTAGCGTTCCACTTACACCAAACACTCCACTGACTGCCAACTCGCTTCTGAGCGTTCATTCCACAACATCTACCCATTACAGTGAATTGGACTTTTCGTTGCAGTCAGATGGAAATTTGACCGTGTCATCTCAAACAGACGAACTAAACAAACAGCGTAATAATCTCAACTATAACAATGATGACAACAATAACAGAGTTAGTGGTTTCAACGATCGATATAGTTCTCCGTTCGTTGACTCTGTGGATACGCCAAGTGCGACCTATGATAACGGGTTAATGTCACCTGGTAATACCACATCTTTGCAATTGCAGAGGGAAAGCATGTTGAGCTCAGTGAGCTCGGATCCTCGGAGCACATTCATGAGTGATATGACTAGAGATGGAGATGGGGAGATTATGATATTTTGGGGAGGGAACAATCAACCCGGAACGGATGTCAATAATAATGAAGCTAGTAGGGACAGTCTAATCGACAAGGATAATAAATAGTATAGATGATTGGGTCATTAAAAAAATGGATCGGGTAATAGACTTTTTTGTTTTAAAAAAAACATCCACATTGTATGATATTGTTCACTCTACATTTTCTCTTTCTACTCCTCTCTCTCTTTCTCTCTTATATCTCTTCCCTTCTCTTTTCTCCTCATCCTTATCTACCCACCTTTATTCATGTGTTTAGACGGAATTTCGAAATAAAAACGTGCGTATTGCCACGTGATTGCTACTATTTATTACTCATTTGTTGATTCACCAACCAAGTTAGGGGATAAACTCTCGAACTAATACAAAATTGTCCGAGTTATTTTCTGCATTGCACGTAATAATTAATGTAACCATCATGTGACCCCATCCTTTATCCAACCATTGTTCTTCCTCGTTCTATGAATAGTCTATATCCATATTCTAGTACTAAAAAAATTTCCCCGCTCTTTCAGCCTTGTGTATTAAAGGAGCATGGTCCTACTAGATCAGCGCTTAAGTTTCCATTTATAGCATATCTAAAAAAAAGAGTCACTTGAGATTTATTAATAGAAATGACACACTGCATTCGGGGCCATATCAGTACTCGAATATTATTTGTTGTTAATACATGTGTTCCTGTCGAACGTTTTGTGTGTGTGCACTCTTTTTCTTCTTCGTCCCATCCTCTCTTTCTCCACACCATTTTTACATAAACGCCGACATTTTCCCTGTTGGCGCAAGCTGAGAGTATTAAAAAGAAGAAAAAAGCAAATTTAATACTTGTAGGATAGAGAGTATACTTACGCATTTCCACCAACTCCGTTAGTCTTATTCTTTCTCTCTCTCTGAAAATTCCCAAAAATTACCGTCATGGTGAATAACCAGATTGCCGCCTTATTAGTCGCTTTGTTTGCGACACTAGTTGTCTTTTGCGGAGTAGGAGCACTAGACCGTAAGTATAACCGCAGATAATTTGTTGCGTCTACATCTGAGAGAGTGAGAAAAAAAGTCTTGCTATAACGCTCACACGTTTTTCTTTGAAAACAAAACTACACAGCCAATACCGTTCCTCTTGATCAAAGAAAAACTTGGTGCACTAACCAGGTTGCAACTTGCACCAACATATGCCAGGATAGTGGAAATGGCGTTGCGTCGAATACTTGCGATCCTACAAACTTGAGCTATGACTGCAGATGCAGTAATGGTTTAGCTCCTAATTCTAGTGGTAAGTAGAAAAGTGAAAAATAAAACTTACGTTTTGGGAAAAGTATATGATTGATAGTTTGTTGCGTTTCGCATTAAGAGAATGTGACTTTATTTTTACAACATTTACGCATCTTTTTCCTTCCAAAACCAAATATTTCTAACCCCACATTTTTTGGTCATTTTCAATAGAATACACACAGACCATCCCATATTTCGAATGCACATACGACCAAGATGCTTGTACCAAGGCTTGTGCTGTCGGTGACCAAGTATGCATCAACGGTTGTCAAAGGAACTGCACAGCTGAACATCCTAAAGTTGCAGGACCAACAACTGCGGTAATCTCTCCCACTTCCACTTCCACGCAGACTGCTGGTGGTGATGGTGCACCTGCGCCGAGCAATTACTTCAACTCTGCCAATCGTCTCCCCCAGTCTGTCATCAATGGATCTTTTGTTATCTTTTTAACGGCGGTCATGGTTTTCTTTGGTCGTCTGTGAGAGGTTTTTTTTTTTGCTGTATGCATTCAGTAGATTAAGCCATGAAAAGATTATTGTCACAGAAAGAAAAAAATCCCCCAAACTATTTACTGCAATATACGATGGGAAATTGGTACGCCCATCTCTAGAACAGTGTGGACTCTTTTTTTTTTTTTTAAACTCTACTTTTCCTTTTAATTTGCTAATATTTAATAAAAAAGCCCCTCCTTCTTGTGTGTTGTTGGACTATTCCTCTACGTCATGTGACAAATAAAAAGGGTCGAGTTCGAAAGAATATGTGTAATTGGCCCAAACTATTTAAGACCATGTCATTTACACAAAATACATTGAAATATGTCTTGGCATGTACGCCTAACGCGTCTGTGGCAAAACTTTATTATCGACACGACATGACCGTGAGATTATATACATCGATTGAGATGATTTACATGTTATACAACTAGCACATGCGTGTGTGTTGTGTGGAATGCAGACTTTGATTGTTGCGATAGATGTTGAATTAATGATGCAATCCCATATGAAACGTTGGGAATAAGCCTTAAAATTTTGTAAATCTATTAATAATCATGATAAGAGAAATGTAAGACTTGGTGTTACGCGCCACAAAGTTATCTGGATGCAGCCGTGCACACATTGTCCTGCGACAAAAGTAAACAGACGTGGTCAAAACAGAAATACGTGAAACGAAATTTCGGATAAATTCGATAGAATATGTGGGGTGTATAACATTGCAAGAATAGTTACTAAGTATTTGGTTTGTAATATCGAGGACATGCTATTTTGGAACGTACCAAATTTATCAACATACTAATACGTACGACATGTACTTGGAAATATTTAAGTATCCCACCAGTTCGACAATGTGGACAAGAAAAATTATAGAAATTAGGGAATCCAGCAGTAGACTTTAATTCTATTACAGTCTACATCTGGATGTTGAATCCGACTCGATATTATAAGAGCTAGCGTATACTGCTACCAAAGGAAAATGTTTGTGAACAATGGTTAAATGAAGACAGTGATAATTTTCTGTCTTGCAGAAATTGACGTAATAGTCGTCGTTAATGTGGTGATAAATAAGTCTGAATGTTTATGTGCTATTATATAGGGAAAAAATTGTCGGGTAAGGAATTTCTCGTGGGGCTTGAGTTTACATGGAAGTACACTAGCATTAAATTCGATTGCTTTACTTTTACAAAAAAGTAAGTGAAAAGAATAGATGTTATTGAAGTTTTTTGCAACTGTACATTCTGTTACAGAAAAAAATATTTGAAATTTTGACATCAGGAACTATGTAATCATATACAATAGATTACTTACCACAAACAACACCATCTGTTCTCGGGCGAGTGACAAATTTGGCGTTTTGTGTAAAATTTATATACTGTATAAAAACAGTAACTAGAATCTTTTCATTCATAAACTCGTTTTGCAACACTCTTATAATGAGGCTTGATTAATGACTTTTATAGACTGGTTTTTGGACTAATGACTGGGTTCTGAACTCAGACACAACAATAATAAATGCCAAAATGGCTCGGAGAAGGCACCGTTATAATTATGTCTCACATGATAATGTAAGAAATATTATTTGAGCATTCTGTATTTCTTATGTTCGAGCCGGAATAAACGAAATACATATACGATCGGAAAGCGATATCCAGATACTCGCTTTTTCTTATTACAAATTCTATTTTCACATGCCTTCCTATGATTGCGTGTGAATACTAGCATGTTACACATTAAAGATACTGATAGGCCAATTAAAGTCAATAGGAAGAAAGGAGCCGATTGTGTACACATCGAAATTTACTTTAACGGATTTGGTTTAAGACCAGACTTTAATTCGAGCTATTTGTCTCTGTACGAATAACAAACTTATTACTATTATGTTTTATTCGACACTAGCTTGTAGATTATCTCGCTAATTGTATCTAAAACAGTTCTGAACTAACAACATAAAAAAAACAACTACTTTATATACCGAAGGCTTTTGCGCGTAAAATTTATTTCAAAATAGCGAGTTCAATATTTCGGCCTGTTCTCTAGCAACTCTATGCAAAATTGTAGTCAATTTTGAAAGTATTTTTTTTTTTTAAAAAAAGACATTATTAAACTTATCTAAAAATTGCAAAAGCAGGTTGGGCCTAGTTGTCTTCACCTTGGACAAAAATCTGTCCATATTCTTTAAAGCTTGAGCTGCAAACCCTCTGTCCATAAAACTAACGAAAACCGCAATTGCAATTACGATTTTTCTCTGCTGTGTTTGTTCAAAAGTTTTATCTAATCGTCAAATTGGCGGCCATAAAAAAATAAAAGCAAAGCCTCTATTCTATTAGCAAACGATGAACGCATATACTGTACATTATCACATTAGGCACTAAATTTAATTTTATAGAGCATACTATCTGCAATGTTTCTAGTACATGGAATAATGCCCTATGAAAACATTCAAAATTGTTGGCATAAAACTGGCATCCTTCCTACATCATCACTTGAATGCATTTTTTACATCGACAACGACAATACGAACGTAATGCACGAACACCTTTTGATGCAATAATAAGTCAGACTAGCAAAAATAAAAATAAAAAAAGCGTCAATGAATACTAATTCAGAATTTAATCGATCAACTAATTTATCAAATCTGTTGTCTGCTAAGGTTAAGTAATGAGCAATCGAGGTTATTTTGTTGTTCTATCTATTACTATATTAATACTAACATTATATAAATATAAAATTTATTGCTGTCATAGTATGGAGAATTTTGTCACAATTAACAATGTTGAATAATAATATTATATTCAAGATATACTAAATCATAATAATGAACTTGAAACAGAAGATAATTCTGATATAAGAGAAATAAAATTCTGTTAAAGTAGGCAAAGATGCATTGCAAAAGTCTTTATTGTTTCTTGAACAACAGGATAACAATAACATGCAGACAATTTATTAGTCGTTCATCGACTAATTAATCGAGTTTTATATCATTGTAAATTAAAGTATAAACAGTTATCCTTAGAAAACCTTTTTGATAGATATCCGCATTGATATTTTTCATAATAAATTTGCGGTTATTTTTTGTCGCACCATGAATCAATGATTCATCCATGTTGATAATTTAGACAATTATCTTGGAAAGTTGGTGTCTGAATTAAAGGCAAATGGGGTGTGGTATCTTCATTGCAAAGTGGTGGAATTCCTACTGACATAGAAGGATACTAATACAGCACTGATTTTCAAGAGTAAGAGGTACAAAAATTATTTCATACCTTGCTCCCAGAACCGTACGTCACCGGTATTCTTCGCGAGACGGCTGCGTCCCCTCACCGTGACAATAAGCTCTGTGGTGTCGATGCTTAGTGATGAGGCCACCGACTTGGCCAACTTTATTATATTATTCAAGTATCTATTCTCTAATATCGCACATTATGTTTCTACACGAATGATTTATGTTGACTATTGTGATCCATGTTTCGTAGTACATTTGTCGCAGACTTACAATGGGTTCACATCTCGAACATATTCTGAGGCAAGAGATATATTCTCCATCGGCCTTTCTATACTATTTGTAACATTTATGATATATAACTATTAAATAAAAATTACAACGTTCTAATTTAATCGCTACTCTTAATGCCATATTAGTTTCGTTAATATATATTTAAAATAACATCGCCGTTTCATCATACGGATGATATATCACCGAAGGTCAGGCACAACATATGTGCCTGGAATATTAACAGACGAAGAAATGCCGTTCTCACATAAAATTTTAATATTCGTTATACACTATATCGTAAATATTATTGCATTAGTGAATGTTAGTTTCTGCCGCCACATTAATATTTCTTTTTCCACTGTAATGCTCCTATTGGATTTTCATCAGAGTATCCACATTTCGCTTCGTGTCTCTATCACACTCTATGGCTCCGATACTCTACTAACATTTTGGCATAGGTTCCTCATTAACGAATAATATTTTAACTTAAACAAAGTAACAATAAATTTTCAATAGTTTCGCAACTATAATAGGTTCACAGTAACTTTATTGATCGAACGAGTATCAACTTTCAAACGAGTATATTAAACTCTCGGTGTTATACAGCGGTCTATATTACGAACGCCTTTTTTGTATGTACTAAACGTAAAGTCTGCAGTTTTTCTAAATTGAACACTTTTCATGCTTCTCTTATTAGTCGTCAAGAGATTACGCCAAAAACATCAATAAACGAATACTAGACAACTTGCTTGTTGATTTTTCTTACATCAAAGTATCGGTATCGAAAATAAAAATGATAACAATAATACGATCGATAATAATTCCAATAATTCCAATAATAAATAACATTTTTACTGCTACCCCAGGAATCCGTTTTACTTTTCAGCAGTATGGAGGAAGAGTTGTTTATATAATGAATTTCATATACTCATGTGGTCAAGTTGTTGTTTCAACCCAAACTTGATAATAATTAAGAAGAAACTTTTAAAAATTGAAGCAAATCTAAGTTATTATTACAAACCATAAATACATGCGTTTCACCAACTTGTCACCCGATCCAAAATACTCGGGGTAAGGGTGGTTTTGACCAATCAAATAATTCCGTGAGTAAACACCATATCTCGACAGTCCCCAGAGCCCCATTTACTTGTGGGTAATAATCACCATCATCAGCGGTCAGCACAGGCCCCTTTTAAAGGATTGGAGGTTGCATCCACCCCGAATTGTTCACCATAATTAATAAGAGGGTGCCTAGGGTGTTGAAACAACCACCGGGATCCGTTCATTCTCCGACTTCCCCGACAATTATTTCCGACAATTCCCGCTGAAATTATCTTGGTGCCGAAATATTTATTGGGAATAATTGTCGGGGAAATGAATCAGACCCCTTCGAGACATCTCGTCGTGTCTAATATTGTTAATACAATTAGAAAAACTCTTGCATTGCATGGCACGCTACCAAAACCATAAACGAACGTTCCAATTCGTAACTCTAATGATAGAACCTTCCTGGAAAGAGTTCCAACAGAAAGTTGCAGCCGAGGTTAGTGGGATTTTGACGACGGAAATATCCGGATTAAACCAAAGACTTTCGTCGATTATATAACCTTTCAAGAGACTTTCAGTTTCCTTGTGCAAAACCGAAAATAATCTGAGACATTTGTTATTCTTAGTATGTATTTGCACTTTATTTTTGGCGATAACATGATACATTTCTCATTTAGCGCAAAGATTACTATTACTCTTACTTTAACACGATTAAGAAGATCGCGCAACATAATTGCTGACAAAAGCACTGATTTACAGGAAGTAAATCTTCGTAAGCGATGCATACCATGCTGATTTTTTTAATTGGTCTCATTGTTGTCATTGTGATTCTGCAGCTGCTGAGTCTGACACCAAGAGTGACGACCGTACGAAAACCATCAACGAAACTTTTGATTGTTTAAGGGTTTGTTTCGAGTCGGGCGCGTTTATGACACTTTAGATATGTATCGCTTACTTCTTACTTTGGTAAGGCCATAAAAAAATCGAGTATCGACTTCTCTCAAGCGAATGAAATGGAGCGTTTGCTTTATATTGAAGCCGTCGTGCGGTGGAGTCGTGAATACTTTTTCGCAAGTCATTTTGCATCTACAGTTCTACGTTCCTGGCCCCGAGGGAAAGGACGAGCGTACTTTGCAATATCTCACATTAACGATTTAATTTGTATCACCGAAGCCAAACGTCTTCAGGCTGAAGAGGGTTTGTCGAACAATTTTGTGCAGTTACAGAGTGCTTGTAATAAGATTTTTTTCGTTCTGTCTATACCAATGTTAGGTATTAAGAGCCCTCTTTTTTTTTTCTTTCTCATTTTAGCACAATAAAAAGCGCAACCATATGATATGGATTTTATTGAACATGTGTATAGGATCGTGTCTACAGGCGATGCATGGTATTTTACTGTCGTGACATCAAATAATGAACTAGTCACAACATATAAAGCAATGTGAACATGGAGAGTGGCAATAATGAAGATGACGTTCAACTGCGACGCCTTTTTGCTGTAATTAAAAGTCTTGTGCAAGAGAAACTGGATAGTCTGGGAGATGATTCTGAGCAGAGAAATGCTAGAATTGAGAGACTTTTCAAACATAAAAAGCGTAGAAAGATTAGCACAACTTCTAAGGTATTATTTAATTGATGTAGTATTTTAAGTAGCATTGGAACATGTTCATAGTTTAGTGATAATTTGTTGCTAAGTATTTGAATAAAAATTTGCAATGTAATAAAATTATTATTATACCCGTATATTGAAAATGCTGATTATAGTTGTTCCACTGAATATGACAAGGCGATATGCTTTTTTGAGATAGGTTTGCCACTGTGGTTGCTCAAAAATGATTCCGAAAGAACATTTTGCCGAATTACGTGAAGCGTTTCAAGTTCTCTCTAGATCCGAACAAGATGTATTTTTAATGACCCAACTGAAAGCAATGAATGGTGGAGAAATAACTGCTAGTCGACGTCTTAAACAGAAAACGCGTACTAACAAAAAAAATATTTTATTATTGAGATCGCCATGCACCTCTGTGTCAAAAAACGTATCTCCATATGTTAGGAATTGGGGCGAAAACGTCAGGAATCACCTAGCGACAAATGGTATAATACCCGTCTGTACCCAAGCTTTCCGTAGCTCAATATGCCGACTAATGGGCACGAGATATAGAACTCTCATACTCCTTCTTTTTCATATGTCGCTAATGGCAGCGTACGAAATGGAAATATTCTTGGTTCTCTGTACGGCAGAAGCAAGTTGCCGTTCGATAGTTTTTGTATTTCGCGGTTTTTTTTAGATTTCAAGAACAGTGCAATAAGGGTTTTCTGTATATCCTTTGGGGATCGGACTAAATTGTTTGCCGTTGGACTTCAAGTCGAGGTTGCGAAGGGCAAGGGGAAAAACAACGCGATATTTATTACTTAATTAATATTAAATACATTTATACTAAATGGATATTAATTGAAATTAAAACACGTTTGTTATCAATAACACGCTTTTTTGTTCATTGACAAAAACAAGTTTAATTTCCGGAAGGCGGTTTGTTTTTCGTTACGCACTGGATGTATAGTAAGCATGGTAAATGGATATTAATTGAAAATTAAAACACGTTTGTTATCAATAACACGCTTCCTTGTTCATTGACAAAAACAAGTTTAATTTCCGGAAGGCGGTTTATTTTTCGTTACGCACTGGATGTATAGTAAGCATGGAAAGCAGTACACTAATCCCAAGTTCGAACAAAAAGGTTTGTCACTTTAAGAACACAAATGCCGATGTTATTTCGTATGAGATGTGTTAAACACGTTTTTTGCATTTGCGCTGACATTCCTAAATAGATTATAACGGGCTTCTAAGAAACCGAACATAGGATCAGTTAAACGTACGATATAACCGTCCTCCCGATTCGAAAATGAACTTTTTACTATGTTTATTAGTTAAGATCAGACGAGCAATAAATTTGTTGAATGTTCGAGATGCCACTATTTGTTCTAGCGGCAATGACGATGACGGGATTGCATTCACTCTAGTTAACTGTGTGTGATTTGCATAAAGCATATGTGGATGCTTGTAACTGTTTATGCCCGGGATAAATTCAACGATTGGGAAAACGCAACGAAGTCGAGAACATAAATAAAAACAGTCGTGAAAGTATGTGTAAAAGTCGAATTTTTTTTGTTTATGTTTGTTATACGTGTTAATTAGAAAAGAACCCTGAGAAAGGGTAAAAGCTCTAAATAAGGCTATCAAATAGAAGTTGCGCTGTGTATAGCGCAGCCACCTCTCTCCCTAACCAAACAAATGATACTCTTTATGACATCCAATAATCAAATAATTCCTAGCGTGTAAATTAATGTCCTTGCCGAGATGATCATCCAAAACCCAGAGTTCCCGCGACTATATATATAAACAATTTTTCTAATTCGAGGGAGTCCATTTTCTGAGTCTGATCGCATGAGTCCTGATGAATCCACCAGCATCAGTCGGCGTTAGTCCTCCTTGCACGTCCATAGAGCTCTCTTCCATATTGTACAACTTGGCGCCATCTCCAAACGCCTTCCTTCCCTCAATCGTTATACTTCCCTTGTATAGTTTAAGCTGTACTTCACCATTAACATTCCTTTGCGTAAATTCTAGGGAATGCAACAAGAACTCTCTTTCCGGTGAGAAATACAATCCGTTGTATAATAACCTGCCATATGGTATGCTGATGTTTACGTCTTTCAGATGGCGTACTTGACCGTCTAGAGTAAGTCCTTCGAGATCTATGTGAGCTGCGCGGAGAATGGTACCTCCAGGCGTTTCGTAACACCCACGCGACTTGAGACCGATGAAACGAGATTCCACAATATCTACACGACCAATGCCATTACGACGACCGAGCGTATTTAGGTAGATGAACAAATCGAGTGGATCAGTTACTACTGTGCCGTCATTCTTGTTTTCTATTCGAACTGGTTTTCCCTTTTCGAAAGCTATTATCTATTTGTAAAGGTATTAAGATGAGACTGTGAATAAATACTGCTGTGTGACATTATAATCTGTGCGCGCGTGCCGTTTTGTTACAACAGACACACAAAGATACAGTATCCCATATCCTATCGACACTCAACCTTCTCTTATTACTTACAATGCGCTCAGGAGTATCAGGGGCGTTTTCGGGAGCAACAGTGAGTTTCCACATATCCTGGGATGGAGTTGCTGCAGGATCTTCCAACATACCAGCTTCGTAAGAAATATGGTACAAGTTCTATGATGAAAATAATAATTAGTAACGGCATGTCATATGCGACATCATTCACAATTGGGATGCCCATTCTACATGATTGTATACACAGTCTTACTTCTTACCTCATCGGTTGACCAAGGTTTAGCCGCTGTATGCACGACGGGAATACCTTTTTCATTCGCATAAGCAATAAGACTTTGACGTCCGGGGAAGCGTTCATAAAATTCAGGCATACGCCAGGGAGCAATGACTTTGATGTTTGGTTTTAAAGCATAGTACGCCAATTCAAAGCGAACTTGATCATTGCCTTTTCCAGTGCATCCGTGAGAGACGACGTCGCAGCCTTCTCGAATCGCAATTTCAATCTATTGATCGAATGAACAAATTATTTAGTAAAAGTAGCAGTAGCATTTTAAGAATAAAGATTACATAAAACGCGATAAAGTTTAGACCAAGCACCCAGGACATGTAAAAATAACATACTTGACTTCTTGCGATGACTGGTCTAGCGAGCGAAGTACCCAAAAGATAGACGTTCTAATGAATTTATTGTTTTACGTTAGGCACAATAAAGCATATACGCTGTCAAGACATATTTTGCAAGATGTTTTGTTCGTGTGTTATATATACCTCATAAACAGCATTTGCTTGAATAGCTGGGTAAATCAACTCTTCGACAAAAGCGCGTCGCAAGTCCTAAAAATTTGTTACATTTTCAGCTCGCTTTTAAATAAAATTAATTGCACTCGGTCTCTTACATACTTCGATGAAAACTTTCTTTGCTCCTATGCTTAAAGCTTTGACCTTGGCAGCTTCGAAATCTTCTTCTTGGCCAATATTTGCCATATAAGCAAGGACTTCATATCCTTGCTCAATCAACCACACAAGAATGCAGGATGTATCAAGACCGCCAGAGTAAGCTAATAGAACACGACCTTTCGACATTGTTGGAGAGGTGTTGATACAGTTTAATGGGCAAAAACGAGGTCTATTTATATAAATGGTTTAGATCGTGATGATCTAACGATCGAGCCTCGAGAACATCGTTGATTATCAACCATCAAAACGGCCAAGCGCATTAACAATGTGTCAACAATAAACAATTATCATCAGGCGATAACGCCTAGGCAAATAACAGAATAGATCCACAATTGGATCTATAATGAGATTAATTGATTTCTTTGGTCTCCACGACTGCGGTAAATTAGATTGGGATAGGAATGAGATCTTGTTTCGGCGCTTCCACGCTTCTTGACGAATAATCTTATGATCATGTTTCTCACACATCTGAAACGACATACTGGAACAAATTAAAAGGCGCATCTTCACAGATGATCAATTTTATCTTAGATTATCACATATTATCATTTTATACAGTATGTGTGTCACACATCACCCCAACATTCTCGTTTGACAACATGTTGGCCAGAATAGACCCTATAGTAAGTATGCTGAATATGCTAATGATTTAATTACACAGAGAATGTAGCATACGCACTAATACTTCTGTCTTTCCATAGAGTTTACCGTTCTTTCCCCCTCCTTATCTGGTTATTTAACTTATCCCTAACACAACACTCTTTTTCTAAAAGTAGTCCAATCCACCTATTTTGGGCATCCAGAAAGAGATTCATAAATTCCTCGGCATTGTAAAAGACGCCTGATCGGTGTGGTGGGATAATGTACAGTCCGCTTGTGCGATCATCTTTAGAAACCATACGATTCCGAACCACCTTATTACACATTCCCGATGGAAATGCTTTACACTCGAAATGAGGAGGAAATGTCCCATTGCTTTTACAACTATCCGTTTGCAAAAGGTCCAATGCGTCGGGCGAGAAGCCATTCACGATTGTACGGGCCGCTGGCGACATTGAATAAGCCAACATCTCACAGAACGTGTAAGAATGTCTCTGGGGACGACTGGGCCGACTGGGTAGGCAATTTTTACTAGGACGAGATGAATGGTAATATGGAATATATGTACCTGGTATGTAATTATCGTATGCGGGGGAATAATTAGAGTGAAAATTCCTGGTAGTTGGCGTCTTAGAAGAAGTGGCGTTCCTATATTGATAAGCATAGTCATCGTACACTGGTGATTGGGAGTGTATATTAGGCGGGCATCTTTTAGTATCCCAGTCTGGATATCCATTAGCACGGAATCTGCTCGTTCTTTCGACATTCTCGTCGGAGAATGTTACAGACTTTGACGGAATGGCAGACTTTGACGGGATCTCTATATCACATAACAGTATATCCACTTCATCTCTAACTAATGGTCGCGGTGATGGAGTATATCGATGCTGAGAATAATCGTCGCAGGATTTCAATGAGATGAGCACGTCATCAGCTATGTAAATTAACATTTCATTTACTCATCATCTCTAATAAATGAACGCTTAAAGACGCGCCTTTGCAGTAATATTTTGAGTGATTAAATCGAAACTTACCGTCTCCTTTGAATTGGGTTTCTTGGTTTTTCGGCTTGCTTGTCTCAGACGTAACAATAGACTCGCTTGACTGTGTTTCTACTGCTGATGAGTTTAATTCCATATTTAATTACGTTGTCACTACTCCAAACGATGTGATTATGGTTCGTAAATGAGACAGAGAGCAGTAGAGAGAGAATGCAAGATAAATCTTAAAGTATAATGGAGACGTAAGAGAGCATGTGGGAATGGGGGGATTTATCCGAATGCCAAGTTAAGCGTTTTGTGCACTGTCTCCCTGTTAAAAATGGCGGGTAACTGATGGTATATTACTATTATTGGATATATTGGTTCACGTGATCAACTTGCTTGAACCCATTTGATTCCCGATTGATGTTACTATTACTTATACTATCGTAACATTTTCATATATGCAGTATATACATCGATATATATAGCTGTCAAAGGATGTCTCTTTTATCGGAGGCGCTCGTCATACTCATTCACTTTGGAGACTGGCTAATAAGATTACAGAACACGTTGTTCTTTCACACGCTCGTACTTGATATCCACAATCGGTTGTTTATTACGCATAGCAAAACTGTTGAAAATGATGACATGTTGACATTGTCGTTATCACCTGAAAAACCGAAGCTGGTTATCTATTCTTTCGATTTTATTATTCCGTATCAATTTTAAGACTTTATTCGTAAACGCCGATTCGTCCCATTCTTTGCCTGCACAAAATTATATTTTATTCTAAAATCGGATAAAGAATGTAGCCACCACATACTGCAAACCGCGAATAATAGAAACCTGCTGAGCGTCTTTAATACATAAAGTTCATTACGCGCACAACATATTAATATGACAACGACTATAATAATGTTACACATGGCAGACATACATTCTGTGTTACTAAATAAGCGATCGATGGAGCCAATTAAAAAGATTGATAGATCTTCACATTTTTACGATCTGCCAGCACAAATTTACATTATCGGAATTACATACCAGATCAGAAACTGTACAAGAAACAATGACATTTTGACGGATAATGTCCGATTATCCTATAGCCGGTTTCTGTAAGCTTTATTATTGTAGAGATTTGGATTATTGCCATTTCTCTTGTTTACGATGAAGATGTCGTTCAGTCACATGTTCTTTGCCATGAACAGATTGACCGTATCCAGGAATATCTGCAATGTGAGTATAGCGAGCGCTAATCGAGTAGGAAGGGCTTTTACTACTGCACGGCGCAACAGAAAATCTCGCCCTGAACATCGACGGTCTAATCGCATGGCAAGGTTACGCTCTCCAACTAATGAAAAGATAAACACTAGATATCTCGAAGGAGAGCTACACCCGTACGTTATTGAATTAAAAGCCGCTATTTACAGCGGTCGAGAGCAATACTTCAAAGACTTGCATTTCGATCAAGTTCTCATCGGAGATGGGCGCTACGATAATATGGAGCATGCGAATGTTCTATGGAAATTATATCAAAACATTAAGAGTGTTGAAGGATTGCTCCAAGAGGTTAATGTTGGACACTTGGATACGCTGGCAAGAATACTTGAGCGCGTTAGTAAAGAGAGAGCAATATGTCTGTTGGAAGACCTGCTTGACTCTGATATTCGATTGATGCAATCAAGCTATTCATTGTTAATTCAATTATATTGCGAGGCAGATGATTATGAGAAGGCAATTCACGTTTCGGAGCTGTTGAAAAAGAGAGACTACATTCCATCAGACAAAGATTTTAATGTTTTGATAAGATTGCTTGCAACTAATGGTGACATCCAGGGTGCGGTGGACCGTTTAATCGAAATGCGAACGAGAGGCCAACGTGCGGATATTTATGCATATGGAGCGTTGATCAATAATCTTCTTTTGCGGAAACTCTACAGAGAGGCTGCCCAATTGTGTTTGAGTATTATTAATGAGGGGTTGATGCCTAATCAGTTATCATTAACCAACAGTTTTACCAAAAACTTGGCTAATTTTGATGCACCATATTTACATGTTGTAGAAAATGTGTCTAGTTTCTTAATATGGATTTATCTCGAGGAATCCAGAGTCGATTTAGCAACCAAAGTATATTTCACTCACTTGTCTGGATCTTCGTCACCAGTGGTTCATGCGTTACTGAAAAGTCTGGTTGATGCATGTCTGAACGTGTCAGACGTCAATAGAATTTTGGCTTTACTCGAATGCGCTACAGAGGATAAAACTATGTCATTATATTCCGATGCATTATCTCAATGCATCAAAGAGGGATGGACAACAGGAGCCGAGGAAATTTTTGAACGTGCAAATAAGCGGGGTGTATTGTTTTCAAAAAAGCTCTTGGGTCAATATACTGCCTTGTTTTCCAGGTTAAGGCGACCTGCCGATGCACTACGAGTATATAATATCGCCAAGTCTCAAGGTGTCTATGGAGAATTTAAGCCTTATGTTTTTAACGCCTTAGCCAGGTGTTTGGTAAAAGACCGGTTGACAGCAGACGCGCGTCAAGTACTAGCAGACATGGAAGCGATAGGTCTTGAGCCATCGCTCACTACTTTTCATATATATTTTATGATAGCCACAGAAGAGCTAAATGTCGAGGATTGTAAAAATACTTTAAAGCGGCTGTATGCCGCTAATTTACAACCAAACCATTTGACACTAAGACATCTTTTCAATTTCTGGGTCCAACAAGGAGACAAAGAGAAAATCAAAGAGATATATCAATACATTTGCGAGCATGGGCACGAGATAGATGTAGTTGATTATAATATCAGAATGAAGTTGTTCTCCATAGACAATGTACAGACACTTTTCAAAGAGATGCAGGATGCGAGAATACAACCAAATGATGTCACAAGTCGCACCTTGTTAAAAATGAGTCTTGAAGCAGGACATTTAAACAATGCAAGGCAAATCTACAATTTTCTTGCTGATGGTGGAATGCATTCCAGAACTCTTGCTATAATGACATCACATATGATTAATACAGAAGGGATTAAGAAAGCTTGCGATTTTTTCTTTAATCAATGTAACAAATATAACATCATTCCAACTATATCCGAGTTTAATATGTTATTAGATGGCGCATATAAAGCGAAGAATGCTAATCTCATGGGAAAGGTGTACAAAAAAATGACCAAATACAGACTACGATTGCAAAACCCATCTTTGTTCGCTGGTCTAATATATCTGAAAGCCATTAATGGCCACTTTAGTGAAGCAAAGAATTATCTTAAAGAGATGCAAAAAAGAGAAATGAAAGAATTGGTAAAGGGATACACAGCTTTGATTGGTGGATGTGTTGTTCGGAGAGATTACAAGAAAGCCGAGTGGCTATTTCGATCAATGCAAGTCGAGTCTGGAGTCAAGCCTGATGTGAGAGCTTATGCATGGATTATTGGTGCGCACATGAGGCAGAAAATGCCCGAGAAAGCTCTTGAACGTTACCGCGCGATGTTAAAAGATGGATACACGGCAGATGACTTGGTGCCATTCAAGAAACGCGTATATTTTGACAGGCTAAAGTTACTTGTGGCGAACAATGATGACTTGGTCAAGTACGGGAATTTAGAAAAGAATCGATAACGGAACGTACCAAAGAAAAAAACAAACATTCTTGTATTTGTTACTGTAATGTATTTTTGCAATTGCTGTATATTTTTTATTAGAGTTTACTGCACATGTGTCCCTTGTTCAGCTACTTTTTGATGTAATTCAACTGCCTTTTGTTCATTTTTTTCTACTCCCGGTGCAGTAATAATTGACAATTACATTTGAATTACCAAAGTTTATTAATGTTTTGCTACTTTTTTTTATGACAAGTATTAATTATGTTAGTCATTGGCATTCTTATTCCGGTGGGATGACAATTTTACTGGAAGTTTACTGGTATTGTTTCTTAAATTGACAGCTTTTTCTTGTGGAACTCCAGATTGCCTGCCAAGTAGAGAATATGAAGTTATGGCTGCCGTCAGATTTTAGTTTGTGGTTTCACGGGCGACACATTTTATGTAAAGAATTCGATCCGTATTAGATCCCTCTTTAAATCCTTGCATGTGTAAGGAATTTTGGAAGCGTCTTGGTCCCTGCTGAATTGTCTGCTAATAATGGACATCGTTAATGGCCCAACGCAAAAATGCTTTTATCAAAATGAAAGGCTGAATCGTTTTTAGTGATTCAGCGAAACGTAAAATATGTAATCTTGGAACATTCGTCATGAGTTTACAGGTATTTACTTGCTAATTTTGACGTATTACCGTGGATCTGTGTTCGAGCTGCTATGACGCCGTCTTTTAATCTGATCTCTAGATTGGCAGCGCAGCCCAAAAGTATGCCGAAAAGCCGTAACATATACAAACGAAGTAGTATGCTTTGCGACTCATCACACGTTCACTTGTAATAAAATCACATAATTATTAAATAACCCACAATCCAAGCGCGCATATCAGATGCAAGTAAATTTTATTAAATTTATATTAGGTTTCTACTTTAATCTTATTCAAATGACTAAAACTGAATTCATTTATTCAATGACTTTAGTAACTTTGCCAATAGCAATTGTTTTACCTGTAAACGTAGACAAGACAAACATTGAGAATTTGCATTATATTTCAATAACGCCAATACATTGTTGAATGAACTAACCTTCATCACGCAAAGTAAACCGTCCCAACTGAGGGTAGTCATCAAACGCTTCTATACAAATTGGCCCTGATGTTTCAAGACGTGCAATTACTTTTTGTCCCTTTTTAATAAATTGAGGTGCACGCTTGGATTTTCGTCCAGTCTTCTTATCGATTAGATGCAACAACGCCTAAAGAAATAACGAATAGAGATGTATTATAGAAAGAATAACAAGAAATAATGACCTTGCAATTTATAAGGTTTCTTACAGCAACAGAGACTTCTTCTACCAATGCATGCACGTGCAAGACGGCACCGTACCCTGCGCAGATAATATTCTTATGTTCAAGAATTGCTAACTGGGTTTCAAATGTAGTTGTCACGTGGACAGGGTTGTTCTTATCACATACTACAAATCCCGTCGAAATATCCTATACATAATATACAATAAATATACTATATAACACGTGATAATAATCATAAATCTGTTTGATGAGAACCAAACCTCTTCCTCAATGCCTCGTACGCGCAATCGAACGTTATCTCCACAAATGCCAAGCGGTATTTCGTCTTCAATTTCATTATAAACAGACACAACTTCGACCGCACGCTATAAATTTGCAGCCAATAAGATACTATCGAGTAATCTCAACCAAATTGAAACGCTCAAGGGACATTTACCTTGTTAGGCATTATTAAGACTGTCTGACCCTTTTTCACTCTTCCAGATTCAATTTTCCCGACAACGACAGTTCCCATATCTTTATATTTTTCCGTAATCGGTATCATAAGTGGTGCATCGATCTTTCTGTCTAGTGCCTGCATATTGTCTAAATGCTCCAACAGTGAAGGTCCACTAATACAGAAATACAAGCCCACTGTCAACATCTCAATCAAGGATAGCATCAATAGAAAGACAGCGGTGAGACTCGTAAGCTACAGCTATTGAAATCAAGTCATTTATATCACCTAATGTTTGCCTCTTGCGAAGTTTGTTATTTGCATCGCTGTTACGGCAAAGAGAAGGATGGATTAAGCTGATTATAAATGAAACTAAGGGTTCTTACCTATACCAAGGGCACACGTCTGCACTCAAGCGTTCTTTGAGATTGGCACCAGTGAAGCCAGATACAGGCATAAATGTAATGTCTGAGGTCCGAAAATGAAACGACAACCAAAGAGTTCAAGAACGTTGTGAGTCACACAGTACACTACTATAAAATACGTTATTATCGTCAGATTATTACCTGTTGCAAGATTATAGCCGGTCCCCCTCAAAAAGGGCGAAAGTTTAGAGACACATTCGTCGTATCTTTTAAATAGTAAAATATTTATATAAATTATCTTATTCTCAAAATCTAATACTGTTCCAGATTGTTATTTACCTCTCTTTAGACCAATTAACAGTTGGGTCGTCCATCTTGTTTATAACTACAATTAGCTTGTTGACGCCAGATGTCCTTACTAAAATGGCGTGCTCGCGCGTTTGACCGCCTCTTTCAAAGCCAGTTTCAAATTCGCCCCTACGAGCAGAGATAACCTTTTATACAAATATCAAAGTGAGCATAAGACAAATCCAGTATGATACATTATTACAGTTATTTGCAAAATATTACCAATACGCCCACATCCGCCTGTGATGCTCCACTGATCATATTAGGGACAAAGTTTTTATGTCCAGGTGCATCAAGAATGGTATATCTTCGTTTGTCCGTTTCGAAATAAGCACGACCACATTCTACAGTTTTTCCCTAAAAATTTTGTTAGATTTGATGTTAACCAACTTATAATCCATTGCGCCCAAAAAAATTAAATAAAAAAATTAAATAAAAAAATCAATACTACAAACGTAAGCGTAACCCAAACAAACCTTTGCACGTTCTTCTTTATTGGTATCAAGGGCCCATGATAAGTACCATGATTCACGACCCTGTTCCTTTGCTTCTTTTTCGTATTTTTCCATCGTTCTCTGGTCAACCATGCCAGTAATATACCTAAACAATATCAATTGTAAGATATTCGCTCAAAAAAGTAGCAATACTCTTCAAACTAATGACTAAATATATGGCCTTTGCCATTTTAATGACTTACAATAAATTCCCACCCATAGTTGACTTTCCAGCGTCTAAAATAAATAATGCATGATTTTAGTCACTATGTAAACAATCAAAATTCAAAGATTCTCAGTCACTCTGCGCTGCTCCTCTCCATATACGAACCTACATGTCCGATAAACACTATGTTGAGGTGTTCCTTGCCGAACATGTCTTGTATAATTTGAGCATCAACCTCTTCTTCTTCATTAGCCCTTACGGTTTCCCCAGCTGCGACAGTTTCCACCTTCTCTTCTTTTCTATCATCTTTCTTTGGCTGCGTGGGTGTAGAGGCACGATTGGGCGACGCTGATCCTGATTTTATGCTTTCTGACTGCTTCTTGGGTTCTGCTACAGAAAGAAAAAACAAATAACAAGGTTATTGATGCTGATTAAGGTTGATTACGAGCAAATCTCCACTCGAACAAGTAGAATTAGACGGCTGCAGTCTTAATCGATCGTTTGCGCGCCTTTTTCTTTGGCCAAAATATTAATCAGCCTGGTAGTAAACTGACAAAAATACGATAGAAGAATACATTACAAATTACACGAACCATTCTGTAACCAACTCGGTACAAATTCCTTCGCATGTACATTGGGCTTGAACTCTTTCGCATGCACATTCAAGGTCACTTTTGACATTTTCTGCGCCAAGATCGTTTCTTGATCAGTTTCCTCTTCCCAGTTCTCCTTTACTAGTACGGTATTGTTTCCCTCGTCACTCATTTCGCTCGTGTATAATGTTGAGTGATTATGCGGTCGACCCGTGCACGGACTTATTTCGGTATTAATGTAGAAAATGAGAAATGATATTACAGTAGTAATAGGAAAAAAATTTTTTTTGAAGATATTAACATACGCATACTAGCATTTTTGCGTGTGATAAATTAGATTACGTCACTAAAGAAACAACGGAATTCGATTCCCAAATTTGTGGTGCATTCACATGAGACCGTGGACTACATACAGAATGTCAACCAATTTTCTATGACGCCAAAACTCTTTCTCTTTGATCAAACATAATAGAAGTTGATAATGCCTAATAAAACACGAGCCGGGTCTTCTCGAACAAGAAAGCAGCAGTCTGGTAAGAATGAGAACAACAACAAATGGCGCTATGTTAACATGTAACATCATCATGCATAATTAACTTTCCTATCTTCAGGAGTCAAGGACATCATCGATACGTACTTATTCTTATACAATGGAGCGTCATTTGTGGCCTGGGGCTGCGTCTTTTACATGGTGGTTCTATCACTGTTGAATTCTGGAGGAGATTTTACGGTAGTACACAACGATGTGAGAGACGTATTGACTTATGTTCAGACAGGAGCGATTCTAGAGGTAATTAAAGAGATGGGTTTTCCTAGTAACTTTTTTGGAGGGGAGAACTAATTTTATTCGTGACGACGTAATGAACAAAGGTTATTCACGTGGTTCTCGGTAAGTCTTAGAAAACGAATTAAAGTGATTGAGAATGAAAATGTCATGTTTTAATTGACATGCGGTCTGATATATGCAATAGGTTTGGTGAAAACTCCACTCACTACTACAGTGATTCAAGTAACTTCTCGTCTTTATCTTGTATGGGGGATACTTGCACCCTTCCCTGAGGTCAGTTGACCCCCGGCATTGCTTTAATCAACTACATTCCGATTATCTGTCGAGTATTTAAATTTTTCATTTTTCTTGCAGGTGCGAAGTCACTGGGCACTGACTACGATGACCATTGCATGGAGCGTGACTGAAATAGTCCGATACCTGTATTATGGCCTCAATATTGCCAAAATACAGCCCACGTGGTTGTTGTGGTGCAGATATACTTTCTTTTTCGTGTTGTATCCTTTAGGAGCAGGAAGTGAATCTGTTCTCGAGTATGTGTCACTTCCGTATTCCCTCGAGTTCGATAAATACAATATTTATTATTATGTCCGGATTGGCGTTTTACTGTCTTATCTGCCAGGTAACTGAAAAGGTACAATTGTTTTGAGTTTAGTGATGTCGATGTTGACACTTATATTCGATGATAGGTTTCTACACGATGTATACACATATGATATACCAGAGAAAGAAATACTTGAGCAAACGGAAGATTCATTAATTGTAATGCATTTGCAGTTATGGCAAATGATATCGATAACAAATATCTTTATTCAACATTAATATTAAACGTAATACGATAACTTTATAATTATACAACTGTCTGGTTAACCAACATGTTCTCCAGAGGATAGGTCTTTTTATATTCGCTTTTCAATATAATAATAATGAGTGGAGGCATGTGTTAACCCATTGCATCGGGTGTTGTAGTAGAACGCATTTTCGTCCATTCGAGCTGATTGAACCGCAATTTACGTGAATGCCCAATAAAAATCTGCTTGTATGCAACAAATCAGAAGGCGGAAGAATATTTTTAAGGCACGAAAAATCTTCTATTAAAGCCATCAAGTTACTGAAAAACAACGACAAGCAGATCGGTAATATTATCTAAAAGCCTCAGTTTCCCATGTTAATACCAGATACATTTCACCCGAAAGTGTTGAATAAAGTATACGTAATGCTCAGAATCAACAAGCTCTGACCCTCCTCAAGATCAAGTTGCTGCGTGACTGTTAGGTACGGTAATAGTATACAGATCACGAATCTTCCACGTCATTCTTTTTCAACGGTCTTTCTACTTCATTAACATCAAACGACTGTCTGGCCCGCTTGATATCCTCGCTCATATACAGCAATTCTTCCACACGAGCAAGTTTTTTTGTATCATGACGAAGGATAAATTTGAAATCATCCACCTTTACTTTTACCTTATTATCAGCAGATTGCGCCGCTTTCAGACACTAAAAAAAGAAGCAAATTCAACAATGTATGATTTGCAATAGCCGCGTAAATCGCACGTGGTTTGTTATAAGGTTGCGAGGCTTACCATATCTGTAATATAGTCAATAACCATTTCTTCGAGGACATTTACAGTGTCAGGCGCTGGATTAACTACATCTCCAAAGCCATACATCAACAACCTTACTGTAACGTGGACGGTTTGTTAAAGGTTGAATACATCATGATCCATACAAGTTCGATCAGAGGGAAATCGCAACTAACAGTCTTTAGCGAAGAGACCCTTCTTCTCTTTCGGCGGACGTCCTCTTCTTACCTCCATCGGTCTAACAGTCTGGAGACTAACAACAAGAAACGTGTGATGCGCCGAACTGATATTTTCCGTGTCACGTGCCACGAAGTAAATTTCGTTATTACCGTACTTCGCCTCAAACACAATTTTCTTTGAATTCTTCACTACGAGCCTGTTGACATGACCTTAGGAAGCGATTCTAAACATACTTTCTTGTTGCCGCCATATGTCCAGCCTCAAATAAGTACTCAGATAACAGATTCTGAATGGAATAGCGCGTTAAAACTTTGGACCGTGTCTCTGTCTCTTCTGCTCAAATCAGACGACAAGGAATTCGCCATTCAATTATGTGAAAATGCTTCTTTGAAGAAATTTCTCGAGACCTTTATTCAAATACGTGCCAAGATTCACGAGACCACCAGTGATTCGATACCTCAACAAGTAACCGAGCTAGAGAAGAAAGTCTTGACAGTACTATTACGATCAGCTAATCGCAGTATCAAATATGAATCCATAACTCTTGCGGAAAGTCTCTACAACACGAAACTGTTTTCCGTTCCATTTTTGTTAGATTTTGTAATTGTATATGCTAAATCTAATCGTGGCTATTCGAGACAGTTTGTCGAGAATGTGATTGACGTTATACCTGCATTGCTACACGATTTTGAGGAATATTCGAATATTATAATTAATCATGTTATATCTGTACAACAAGTCTGTGAAAAAATATCCTCACTGGTAGTAGACCTGAATGGTGACGCTGAGGTATTTGGGGCGGCCTTAGAAGAGATGCGTGACTACATCTTTTTGATGATGGATATAGCGATAACGATGGATTGTCTGTTTACGGCATCAGACACTATTGCCAAGTTATTTATTAATAGATCTCACGTTAACGAAGATGACGATTTTATATCCGTTATTAGGAACCTATATGACGCAACATTGCCCATAGCTTTGGGTCTATTGCAGGAACCCAATGCAGCAGTTGAGATTGCGAGAGATATCAATATATTGAAGCAAGCCTTAGTTTCATGTGTATATCATTTACTATATGAGTGTTTCTTCGTCCCGTTAGGATTTACGACCGACGAAGTCGATACAATCACATCGACGTTGGGTAACGGGAAACAATACAGTGATGATGACAATGCTAATGTGATAGTCAATAGCCTCAATGATATTCTCTTCTCGTTTATTGAACGTTCAGAGTCGTTTAAACCTGTTCAGGCATTTGTGGATGCACCTCTTCTCCTGGATATCGAGATGGAATTTAATTTGAGTCAGAAGCTTACAAGAATAAAAAACGATATTCTTCATGGATATCCTTTTGATAAAACGCGCGATGTTCGTTGATTTATAATATATTTGCAATTATAATATTCTTAATTTGTCACACGCATGATGAACGCGTAGAATATGGAATATTGTCATTGGAATCCATGAGAGATATGGTTCAGGATGCACCTTTAAGGCGTAAAAAAGCTGAGAAATTTAGGCGACTATCTATGCGACCAGTAGTTGGCATCGCCAACGAAAAACAGGTTAACAGTATCTTTGTTGGATCATTAACTATCAATCACTATTATTACTCAAGTGCTAGTATTGCTAACGAATAGCTTCTAACATTAGCTAGCATATTTCTTTGCATTATCTCAATTGATTAGCACGATGTTGTTGAAGAGGATGTTAGGCGCACATCACTCATATTTCAAGTACGAGATGTATTTCCCGATTTTGGAGAAGGATTTATTGATGCTTGTCTTGGTGCATTCGGCGACGATGTTGAGACAGTAATTCACCGAATTTTAGAAGATTCGTTGCCCGAAGAACTTGATAAATTAGATCGATTTATGCCACGGTAGGTATTATCGTATACGCAGTCTCGCGAACCGTTCCGCACTCACTTCATATTTATGTTTATTATATATAGAAAACCACGAGAACCATCGCATTCCATGCCCGAGAAACGTCCGCTTTCTAGTCAGAGGAATATCTTTAATAATGACGAGTTTGACGTCAACATAGGAAAGAAAAAGTAGGCATTATCTATTATCAGTTCAAGTGACAGTTAGACAAGGTCGTACTTTGCGACCAGCTCCTTTCAGATTGATTTTTGGTCTCACATTTTTCTTATCGCAATAGTCGTGGCACTGCTGAAACATTGTTGGACGATAAGTCATTTGTCGATGCATACAAGGATGCCATAATTGAAGCAGCGTACAGCGACTACGAGGATGAATATGACGACACTTATGATACTAATGCAATACTTGTACGAGGAGTGGATTCACATATGCTAGATGATTCGGATGGCGAGCTCAATGCGTTCGTCAAATCGCAACCCAAAGGACATGTAAGAGTTGTCGCATGATTTGTAGTGTTTTGCCGTATATTCCTAAGGCAATCTACTTATAATTACCACAGGTTGATCCTGCCGTTATGCATAGCGCTGAATTAATCAAGGCCTATAAAGAGAATACTTCAGTCTTTGAGAGGACATCTGCTGCCAGAAAATCAGACAAAAGAAGGCAACTAAAGAAGATTACTCAGATGACCGACGAACAAATAGAAGGATGGTTTACCATGTTCCAGAGAAATGTGTGCAATTCAAATTTATAGAGTAATTGTATGATTGCTCGGTCATATGACTGAGACGGTCTAATCGTGCTAATATGTTTTTCTGTATTTTCTTGTGCGTTCTTCAAACTTCATTAGCCGAGGAGGGACAAACTACTTGAAAAGTACGACTGGCACGGTGAACAGGACGAAATCTCTTCCGCCACTTCTGACGAAGAAGGCTCATCGACATCTGCTGGCCCCAGTCATAGGGGAGGTAATAGAGGCAGAGACGTAAGAAGAGGCAAGCCACGACCCGGGGGTCACCAGCATCAGCGAAAAACGACTGAAAAAGGAAAATCTTCACCTAGCGACTCTGGCACAGATAAACAACAGGCCCAGCCAGCATCTCGTGGATACAGAGGAAACAAAAGCCGGACAGGTCATCATGATCGCAAGAATGCACGCGCAAAAAAGATGGGCAGAGCGTTTGGACCTATACAAGGATAAGATATAAAAGAGATAATATTATTGATTGAACCAAAATGGAAACTTTGTCGCAGAAATGATAGACATCGTATAATATAGTAGTTCACATACTATGTTTTCCCTGAAACATCAACACAATCTTCGCGAACCAATTCCTGCATAAATCAAACATACATTCTGGCATTGTTCCGAGCTTATTAAAAATTCTTCTGACTCGATGAGGTGGATTATACGCTTTCCTTTGAATCCATGGAACGAATTGCGTGCTCCCACATGATAGCATACGTGTACATCGTGTAAATTATTTTCTTCTCTGTGTCCTAGGTTGGCACAATTTCTATTTGTATCGAAACGCACCTGACAGAAAACGGCCGCCGTATATTTACACTCGAATTTGGTAGATTTATCAAACCTATCTGCATATTCAGAATATTAATCAATTATCGGATACTCAAAATCCACGCATTTTCTCCACAGCATCGAGGTCAGGGTCACCACATTATTTCGCACATTGTGTATACTACTGTATGTAGTATAATAATAGCAAGGTTTATAAGTTTTGGTTTCATAGTGTTTGCATTCTAGTCAGGAAGCGCTATCGCATTTTAAATACACATTATCCAATGTTTAAATGAAGGGTTGAGCGGGATAATTTCGCCTAATTGATTAGTCATTTTGGAGTACGAAAACAATATCGGACGCCGCCGGTGCTGAAATTGAGCTGCCCCTATCACCGAACAGAGCTCGAATACGGCTACGCATTTTGTTCAGGAACGGACTCATTACCAGTCTTATAAATTTGAATAATTACTCTGTTACTATTTTCTTATATTTAAATCATGAGTTGAAACAATTTGCAAGGTGATAAAATCCCTAACGGCGGATTATTAATATATCTCCAGCGCTTGTTTGTGCAGCATACTATAGTGGGCGATTGCTATATAGCGGATAGCTGTTTATTTATAAGTTCATCCGGTAAATACAATCCACAATTTTTCTTATGCTTAAGTGTTGATTGCACACTCCCATATTCACAATCTCAGTACGTAACATTATTAACTACTACG